GAGGGAACTGACCACAACGACGGAGATTATGTTGATGATGGAGGTGACGAAGACGGCGAGGGAGACGATGACGATGTTGTCGATGTTGACAACGATCTTCGCGCCTTTGCTCGGGACCAGCAGATTGAGACTGCCGCTCGCGCTGTTAACCGTGCTGCGGGTCGACGACCTACTTTTTCAGTCCCTGTGGCTGATATGAGCCCCCGTGGCCCCGGCTTGGTGTCCCAGCGCAACATGTCGCAGGAGCGCTTGTCGCTGCCCCCTCGCCCTTCCAAGGCTGTCACGCGGAACCGCGACTTCCGTGCTCACCCGTACGACAGTCCCAGGGTCTCTCAGCGTGGCCGGCAGCCGCTTCAGGAACGCGCTCGAATGGGAACCCCTCTCGAGACCAATAGCTACTATGACCAAGGCCATAGAACCCAGGCATACTACGGACAGCAGCCCAGCCGTCAGTCTTTCTACCATCAGGGTCCCAGAATGCAGGGCCACTACGGACAGGATTCTGGTAGTCACGGCTACTACGATCAGGGCCCCAGAGCTCAAACTTACGATCAGAACTCTGGCAACCAGGGCCACTACAACCAGGCGCGCGACTACTACGGCCAGACCACCAACCCCCAGGGATTCGATAATGGCGCCAACTCCGAGACCTACTGGGATCAGAGCGCCAAGAACTGTGAATACTACGAACGGGAGTACGCCGCTCAAAGTCAGCAGTATATCAACCAGTGCCATGGTCGAAGTGACGACAGCCAGGGCTATCAGGGTCAGACTTCCAGCAGCCGTGGTTACAATCAGAACCGCAGCGTCGATGGTTCCGGACAAAATCATGAGAGCCGGGGCTACGATCGTGGCTACGACCAGAGCCAGGCCACTCAGGGCTATCACGACCAGAACCGTAGCGTTCAGGGCTCCTTCCATGACCACGAGAACCTCGGCTACGAGGAGAACCATGCCAACCACGGCTACTACAACCAGGACCGCAGCATCCAGAGCTCCGACCAGAACCGTGGCTACGATCAGAACTACGCCAACCAGAGCTACGATCAGAGCCGCAACCAGCATGCCCCCGGTAGCCAGGGATACCACGCGAATGCTGCGTACAACACTGGTCAGCACCAGAATGCTCACTCCACGAGCTACAACGGTCACCAGCCTGCCGTGGGATCCCACCAGTACGGCCAGGAAATCCAGTACCCCCAGTCGCAGCAGTCGAGCATGTGCTACTCTGACGAGCATGTTGGAAATCGAGCCAGCTCGGCGCGCGTTGAGCCTCATGTCATGCCTCGCTACTCAGATCATCAAGTCTCGATGTTTTCTGGCCGCAGCTCAGTTGCGATGACGCCCAGCCACGACACCTCCGCGCAGCACAGTGCCGCGCCGTCTCCCGGCTACGTTGGCTATCCCTCGACCATTCCGGACTACATCCAGCGCCCCTCGACTGCCAGCTCTGGTCACCAGCAGCGCTCTCGCCGTCCTTCTGCTCATCAGCAGGTCAGCGAGGATCATCATCGCCAGGGAGCTCAAAGCAACAGTTGCGAGGAACCTCAGAATGAGCAGTTGCAGCATCCCTCTTCTTCTGCCCCTGTTCGTCAGCCTGCCAACGAAGATCAGCACCGTCAGGGAGCCTACCAGGAGAAGGAAGCGTTCCGGGCTCCATCTTTCTCTTCGGTCGCTAGTCAGCATGCCACCGAGCACTACAGCCGCCAGGGAGCCTATATGGATCGTCACGAGGAGCCCCAGAATGAGCAGATCCAGCGTCCCTCTGCCTCTTCTGCCCCTCTCCCTCAGAATCCTACCGAGTACGCCCCCCAGAGCGGTTACATGCACAACCATGGACAGACCGAGGACGAGCGATTCCCTCGTCCCTACGTCTCTCCCTATCCTCCTCGTCAGCATCTCAGCGAGCACAGCAACGATCAGGGCGGCGGCCCGAAGAATGCCCATGTGCCTCAGTACGAGCCAGAGATGTTCCAGGCCTTTGAGGCCGCTTCCTCTCAGCGCAAGGAGTGAGCCTCTAACATTGTACATTCTTTGCTCTCAGGTCAGGATGTTGCGATTTTCATCAGGGCGACACTGGTATTCAGTTGCTGGATTTACCCGCGACTAGCACAGACCCAGTGATTACAGGGGCATCGCCACTCCATTACGGATCTGGGAGCTCTCACATTGGCATTGGGCATTCTAGCTGCATTCAAAAGGAAGCAGTCGAACATTGGCATCGGCTTTGGGCATTCTGGCTGGATTCGGGTCTTGGTTTAGGCGTTGGGATGAGGTTAATGGCAGAGATACCCATCATGACTTTCGGGATGCAGACAGTGGGAGAAGGATAGACCCTAGTCTCCAGGCCCCCACGAGATAGTTCCCCATAGCCCTTTCATAGGAATTGAGCATCAGCCAAGCATAGCTTCCCCATCCTTCGATTGTGCCACCCTCTATCCCACGTCTCAGGTTTAATAAGATATGCATAATGACTAAGCCAACCAAGGGGGGAAACTCGAACGACTTTCTCGAGTCCAGGTCTCCAAGACTCCATGTTCGCCAGTGGGGTAACTGACACGAACAGCAAGCAAGGAAGGGTGGCATGATCTGATATTAAAAGTGCCGTCCGAGCGAGCGAAGGGGCAAAAGCAAGGCTGATAAGGACAGAATGGGCGACGAGAGGCGAACAAACAAGAACTATCGCAGGAACTCTCGAATCTTTAAAACGTGGGCATCTTGCAATTGACTTTTTGGTTTTCATCCTTTGATTGTGTCTTTTATCCTCGATTCTTTGAAGTCAAACCAACGTTGAGCGAAACTTGCAGGGTTGTCGTTACTTTTTCCCGCTACCTTAATTCGATTGAACCTATCACATCAACGCGTTATCCAATCGACTATCCAATCTATCCAACCCCCAAGCACTTTATCAACTCTCTTAAATCAGCACAACCAACCAAACCACCCAAATGACAGTCACAAAGCAAGCGCCGCCCACGATGCCAATCCACCTCGAGATACCAGTCTTCTCCCCGTCCTCGGCGCTGCACGCCCAGGCCATCGGCGCGCAGCGCATCGAGCTCAACGCGCGCGGGAGCTACGCCGTCGGCGGCACGACGCCCACGCTCGCGGACCTCGAGGGCGTGAACAATTGGCTCATGGTACCCGTGCGGATCATGATTCGGCCGCGGGGGAAGCGTCCGGAAGATGAAGTTGACTTTGTGTATGATGATGAGGAGTTCGAGGTCATGGTGAGGGACGTGGAGGCGTTTCGGGGCGTGTTGAGGCGGGAGAGGGGGGACGGGTTTGTGTTTGGGGTGCTGGAGAGGAGCGGCGGTGGTGATGGTGCGGTTGTGATTGACGTTGAGAGGAATCGGAGGCTGGTTGAGGCCGCTGGCGGGCTGGCGTGTTCGTTTCACCGGGCTTTTGACGAGGTTATTCGCGATGGGGAGACGGAGACGATTGCGAGGGGGGTAAGGGATTTGGTGGGTTGCGGGTTTGAGGGGGTGCTTACGTCCGGCGGGCCGGGGAATGCGGCGGAGAACCGGGCGCTGCTGGAGGTTGTTGTGCGGGAGGCGTCGTCGGAGGGTGTGGTGAAGATGATGGCCAGCAAGGAAAAGGAGACGAAGGGCCTGGAGGTTATTGTTGGCGGCGGGGTGAGGAAGGAGAATGTTGAGGGGCTGGTTGACGGGTTTGAGGGGGCTCGTGTCTGGGCGCACTCGAGTTGTTTTACGGGCAAGTGTGCTGAGGGGGAGGTTGATGATGAGGAGGCGATGGGGATCTTGGAGAGGCTTGCTGAGAGGTGATTTTGGATCTTTCTGGATTTTTGGGTAGATGGTCGTGGGAGTCAGTGTAGATAGCGCGAACAGATCTCAACATCAGGTTACAAGCATTGTATCGAAGAGCAATGAAGTTCTCACGGGTTTTTGGCTGAGTGGCATCTTCGTGAATCCTGGCGTTCTGCATCCACTCGGGTTGCGAGTCAACCCCCACAGAGTCGGACCGCGCGGGAGATCGACCCTGCTTAGCACACGAACCATGCCCCCCTCACAAGAGATCCGAATGGGGGCAGCAATCAAAACAAGAAACGAACAATGCACGACATAGCTACATCAGTTGACACCTGCGCGTCTGATCTTTCTGCCTCGCTTGCCCGCCTGTCTTCCGGGATGTAACCATGCTTGCGGCTCACCTAGGTTGGGCCAAGGCAGAGGCCATCTGTCTGTTCTTTTTTCCCGGTACCCTCGTCCTAGCCCCATCTACTTCCCTAGAGAAAAGCGAAGAGATCCTCTGCCCGTGAACAATACACCCAAAAGGGTAAATTGATCCCGTCCATCGTGGGCTGACGAAGAGGGACAAAACGGACGACGGAAAGTGGATCATGGTCAGTTCATCGGCCGATGATGGGCCCGAGCGGATGGGGCCCGGGGTCCCGTTGTAACATCGCCGAGTGGCACCGTGGCCTAGACTCGCAATGTTGACTCGGACAAGTTTAAGAGTTCCTTGCGTGAAGGCTGAATGAAATCATAGATCAGGAATCTTGGGATTTATGTTTGTGCTGCTTCTCGGGAGGCATCGTGCACAATCTCGTCGACTTGATTTTGGGGGCGGCGAGGCATGAACAACTTCACAAGACTATACTCTCGACGTAGCACGAGCCTTTACGGTGCTTTCAATGTCAGAGAACGGTGCGCAACTTCGTATACGAAGATAGCCTTGAAGCTGGTTTTGTAACGAGTTCCTGGGTGACTTACACGGCGACGAGCGGAGAGGGAGCGTTTCCGTCCGTCCATCTGGCTGTCCATGTCTATAAACACCATAGCATCAACCAGTAGTTCAGATTCTTCAGTCTGGCGATAGTCATAGGGAGTGTTCTTGACCAACGTTATATTAATTCTATACTTCATCACCGAGTTTCATTACGGGAGGGCCTCTCCAGCCTCTGTACCCAAACATCAACCGCCCCAACACCCACTCGCCATGCTTAATCAAAGTTCAAAACCTATTCGACCCCTTTCGACTCAAGCATGAAGAGCCCTGGCCTTCCTCGCACACCCAGCCCCAGGCGCCGTCGCATTCTTCGGCTGCGCGAGACCAAGACAGTTCGCCATCTTGTAGAAAACATCAATGTTGCTATACGTTCCGCCAAACGTCTCCTGGCAAGGTCCCCTCGCCCACACAGCAACGTCAGTCAACGAGTGCACGCCCTGCGCCTCATTCGTAGGCAGCGTACCATTCACCACGAAGCCATCGACGGCGTCCTTGGGGTTGGCGTAGTAGTCCGTGGTGTTCGTCGCCGCAACAGCGGGCGTGCGCGCACCGTCGGCGTGGACCTTGTAGTCCTCGCGGCGGTCCGGGTTGGCGCCGAAGCCCGCGGCGATGGCGTAGCGCGGGGACCAGTTGAGCGGGAAGTTGGGCCCCGTGTTGTACGAGACGCCGGGCTGCTCGACGGTGTACTGCGACAGGCCCGAGTTCGCGTAGACGCCGACGGCCTTGCGCTTTGTGCGGTCGTCTTTTTGCTCGGCGAGGTACTTTGTGTCGGCGTTGCCAAAGACGCTGCTTAAGTCAGTATAGAAACGTAAGTAGATATTGACGAGTACTCACTCAAAGCCGTGGCCGTGGTCGGACGACACGACTACGAGGGTCTCCTCGAGAATGCCGAGCTCCTCGAGTTTCTCCAGCGTAGCCTTGACGGTGTCGTCCAGCTCGAGCAAATCGCCCAGTGCGCGGTCGTAGTCGAGCGCGTGCATCTGCTTATCAATGGACGCGGCCTCGGACATCAAGAAGAAACCCCGCTCGCCGCCGCGGTTGTGCAGCGTCTCGACGGCCTTGAGCGTCATCTCCTTGAGCCCCGGAACGTCGGCGGCGGCGCTCTTGTTGCCCGTGGGATCGTTGCTCAGCTTGGCCAGGTTCTCCGTCAAAACATTGCGGTCGAGCCAGACGGGGAGGTTGCCCTGGGTAAAGATGCCGAGGATGCGCTCGTTGGGGTCGGCGGCTTCGAGCGACGTCTTGTTGAGGGCGACGCTGTAGCCCTTGTCGGCGAAGGCGGCGTAGTAGTCCTTGCCCTGGTAGGAGCCCTTGCCCGGATAGAACTGCTCGGCGCCGCCGCCGAGGTAGACGTCCGGGCCGGTCATCTTCGTCCAGGTGTAGTTTGTGATGCCGTTGAGGGCCTGGTCGATCAGGGGCCCGTACAGGGACCGGGCGCGGGTGTGCGCCGTCAGGGCGATGGGGGTCGCGTCGGCGATGAAGGCCGTGGAGACGGCGCCCCAGGCGGAGCCCTGCGTTTGTTAGACTGGTTCAGGGGGCAGAGACGGACTGGACATACCCAGATGCGGTGGATCAGCTCGACAATGGTCTCGACCTTGGGGTCGTCAAAGGCGTCGGGGGAAGAGTCGACGTAGACACTGGCACATGTCAGTGAGCACTTTGACGGTCCATCATCTCCACTTACCCCATGGCGTTCACGGTGCTCTTGTGGCCAGAGTACAGCGCCGACGCAGAGTTGGCAGAGTCGGTGATGTAGCTGTCAATGGAATGGGTCATCTGGTGACCAATGACGGGGAACTTGTCGAGAGCCAAGCTAGTCTGGTACTTTCCATTGATGCTCTTATGGCCGAGAAGACGGGCGGCAGTGACCTGTGGGTGTCAGTATGTAGTTCAGAGATGTGAGCTTCGTAAATACCATGTTGGTGGTCATTCCGTCGCCTGAGTCCAGAGTTAGCATAGGCACAAACACCACAACCACAGAGACATACCAATGAAGAAGATGACATTCTTGGCCTTCTTCTCCGTCGCCAGAGGTCGCACGACCCAGTTGGCGGTGGTCTTCTTGCCGTCGTAGTACGTGAGGGTGACGACGTAGTTCCCCGGCTCGTACAGCGCAAGGCGGCGCCAAATCTTGGACGCCACGTTGACGACGCTCTTCTGCTTGGCGTCCTCAGCAAAGAGGTCCTCGTACCACCCAAACGACCACTTCTCGAGCTTGGGCTCCTCGAGACCGAAGAACTCGGTCAAGCTCTTTGCGGCGCCGCCCTCCTTGGCAATGGTCGCCTTGAAGGCCTCATCGGGGACGCCGTTGTTGAAGGCCTCGGAGCCGTTGACGGGCGCGTGGACCTCGACGCGGAGGTCAAAGGTCTGGCCGGGGAGGAAGTCGGACTGGTCGGGCGGGAGGACGCAGCCGAGGTCCGGGCACGTCCCGAGGCGCTGGTAGGTCTGCGCCGAGGCGAGGGACGACAGCGAGGCCGCGGCCAGGACGGCGGCGAGTGGGTTGAGCTTGACCATCTTTGTGTGTCCTCAGGGTGAATTGGCTGCAGAGTGAAGCCAAAAGAGCACAATGAAGCGTTGGGATGAGAAGAAGGGTACAACAAGCTTGACCGGGACGTTGGAGCAGAAGCTTTCCTGCGGCTCGGGAGCTTATATACCAATAAGTTTAGCAAGGGGACCAAAAGTCATCCCGTGTCTTTCAAGAGCCCAGATGGTGTTACTCCCCCGCCAAAAGTTACCCGTCTACTGCATGACAAAAACACTCTGTCGGTTCGCGGATTCTCTCGTTCGCGGGTCCCATACTTTGAAGACAGCTCCGGGTGAGCGAGCTGCAGATTGCGCGGCGCATCATCCCAGCCTGCGCAGGACGTTAGTCCAACGTAATGGGTAGGATTCCGTCTGCACCGAGAGCATCAATATCGATGTACGATTGGACAGCACAGGGGCAGAAGGACGGCTAGACCGAGATCATGATGGCGTGCTGGGTCGGATGGAAGAAGCTGAATGTAACTTCACGGCTCGTTTTGAGCGACAGAGGCACGTGTCTCTGCGCGAACTTTGAGGTGGTGAGTCGGGCCCATCTCGGGCTTCCCAACGCCAAGACACTTGTTATTTGACGGCGAAGCGGAGATGATGCTAATCATGCTAGAGCGAGAAAGAAGGAAGAAGCTCCGAAGCTGGAAGCTGGGCGTGCTCGGTCTGCGGATTGGGGATGAAGCCTGCGAACGCTGCGTGGGGTGGGTTGCCAGAAGGCACAAGAGATGAACGGCGTCATGTGGCGTTGGCTTGGCGCTGCAGGTCGAGAAGGGATCATGAGCTTTCTAAGCTTGCTGAGCTTCCCGAACCTGATTTGAGAACCTCGCTGTTATTCGTCAATCCCGGCCGGGTTGTAGTCGGTCGAGAGGTTTGTGTTCCCGGGACGAGACGAGAGTTGACCGTGGCCGTTGGGTCCGACCCCGTGGGTGAATTAGCGCTTCTGATTGGCTGCTGGCTGCCGGTGTAAGTCGGGGAACCAGGGTTGACGGCGGGGGGGTGTCAGTCTTGGTGGCGTCGATGTCTTTGGTGCCTTGGGGGAACAAGCTTACCATCTCATTTTACAGACTTTTGGTTAATCGCTGCTGCTTGCAAGAGTCCAAGATGATCCTTGAAGAAGGGCGTGTGCTGACGGAACGTGTTGTGGGTAATGTTCTACGCAAACGCCAAGAACGACGACGGCACGAGCTCCGATGGACCCTCAGAACTTCGCCACGATGTGAAGAAGCTTTCCTTGGCTTTCCAATGGGCCTGCTTCTTGTTCCGGAGACCACGTTGGGGAGCACGTTTTCTGCTAGTAGCATAGAAAGCGAGTTCGCTCCAAGCTGCGTTTTCCCCAATCGAGGTTTGCGCCAGCGGCATAGTTGACTGAGCTGTGGTGTCTTGGCTCAAGTCCAGAGTCATGGCAGCAAGTCGATAAGATGGTAACATTGAACGGACCCAAAGCCGCGGGGTCGGAAATCAGCACACTTTTGACAGGTTCCGCCGTTTGGGATGATCATCATTTCTGTCAAGGGAAGAGGGTCACTTTGCAGGACACTGAGTACAGAGTATGAAATTGGTCTCTTGGAGTCTAAACATTACGAGTCTAAGTGTCTCTAGGACAAACGTGATCGACTGAGTTGCGCAGTTGCGAGTCAAATAGTCGTACAAAAACCCCGTTTCCCAAACGCCGTGCTCTATGGGAGGAGTCAAGCGCTCAACTCCCAGGCCGAAAATGCAACAACTCAGCATGGACGAAGCTCTTCTACTTCCCCTGCTCACTCGAGATTCTGCGCCTCGCACATCTGCTTATACATGCCCCCCTTGGCCACAAGCTGCGCATGCGTGCCCTTCTCCACAATCCTCCCGCCATAAAACACACAAATCACATCGGCATCTTTCACAGTCGACAACCGGTGCGCAACAGCAACCGTGATCCTCTCCCCGTCCCGCGCAGCCTCCTCCAGCGCGCGCTGCACAATCTTCTCCGACTCGGTGTCGAGCGCGCTCGTCGCCTCGTCGAGCAGCAGGATCTTGGGCTGGCGGATCAGCGCCCGCGCGATGGCGATGCGCTGCCTCTGTCCGCCGGACAACTGCATTCCGCTGCTGCCGCAGGGGGTCGCGAGGCCTTCAGGGAGCGACGAGACAAAGTCCCACGCGTTGGCTGCGCGGCAGGCCGCTTCGATCTGGGTGTCCGGGACGATTTCGTCCAGGGACTCTGCGTCGATTCCCAACGAAATGTTCTCGCGGATGGAGCCCTGGAAGAGGGTAGGCTCTTGCTGGACGAGGGCGACAATGTGGCGGTAGAGGCGGGGGTTGAGGTCCGACAGAGCCGCGTCGCCGTCGATGACGATGCTGCCTGTCGTCGGGTCGTAGAAGCGTTCGAGCATGGCGATCATTGTGGATTTGCCGCAGCCTGAGGCGCCTACCAAGGCGACGAACTGGCCCTTTTTGATCTGGAGATGTGTTAGGTATGATTTCTGTCAGGTACTTAAGGGGGACTCACTTCGAGATCGACTGCGCGGAGGACATGCGCTTCGGGTCGTAAGGGGTACGAGAAACGGAGCTGCTGGAAGTCGACCGAGGCGCCGGCCTTTGGCGCGGCGTCGCGGTTCTGGGGCGTCTCCTGGATGGACGGCTGGAGGTCGTGCAGCCAGAAGAGGTAGTTTGCGGCGTTGATGCCCTTGGTCATGCCTGGGAGGGTCAGAGTGTGTGACATCACCAGCGGAGAAGATTCAACTTACTGCTCGAGTACTGGAACAGCTGCGACGCGGCCTGTCCGGAGAAGAATGTGCCCATGAAGGCGACGAAGAACTGGTACATTGTGATCTCGTTGAACGAGAGCAGCCGGCAGCCGTACCTGCTCGAAAGTTAGCAACTAGATTGGGAAGACGCAGCACCCAAACTCACCAGAACCCGAGGGCCATGAAAAAGTACTCAATGGCCTGGGTCAGTCCAAACGCAACAGTCATGACGAAAAGGGGACCAGTCGAAGCCCTCACGGCGTTGTCGAGCTCGTCAGTATACCTCTTCAACACCGACTCCTCGATAGCGAGAGACGAAACGGTCCTGATCGCCGTCACGGATTCGGACGCGATCGCCGCGCTCGCAGAGTACCGCTTCGACGTCTTGGTATCCAGGCGCGAGTCAAGTCTGACCTTGATGTAGCCCGAGGACACCAGTGGCGGCATGCCCGCAAGCACGACGACGAGACCCAGCTTCCAGGTCGTGGCGATAGCCAGGATACCGCACGCGATGACGTTCAGCGACGAGATGAGGATGAGGCCAATGTTGAAGCCCATGAGCTCGAGGATGGCCTGAGGGTTCGACTCGAGGCGACTAGCAAGCGCGCCCGTGTTGTTCTCGACGCGGTCAAAGAATTGCAGGTCCTGGCGGAGGAAATCATTGAGGGACTGCCGGCGCAGCTTGTGGTTGAGCCCCTGGGCGATGACGTTTGTGGCCCAGCCCATGACGAAGTAGCAACAGAGCACGCCGAGGGCGAGGACGAAGAACATGAGGGAGTAAAAGTTGCCCTTGGTGATCATCTCGGAGCCCGTCATCGTGAAGACGTCGACGAGGTTGGCGATGACGAGGGACTGGCCGGGGAATGCGCCGGCGGCGACTATCACGGCCAGTAAGGTTGCGAGGTACGCCCACTTCAGCTCAGGCGTCTCGCGCACCATGCGGATGACGACGCTGATGAGGCCGATGGGCTTGTAATGATCAAAGTTGTCGCGCTCCTTCTGCGCCTCCATCCGCGTCTGGTCTGTCGTCCGGTACCGGCTCATGGTCTTCGTGAGCTCAATGCCCTCCTTCCCAGCAGCAGCCGCCGCCGTCACCGCTTCGTCGTCATCCTCCTCGGTCTCGGTAATGGATCCTTCCTCGGCCACGTTCAAGTTCTGCGCCCTCACGAGGCGGGAATACGCGCCGCCCTGCGCCAACAGGCCCTCGTGCGTCCCCTGCTCGACAATGGCGCCCTTGTTCATGACTACAATATTGTCCGCCTTGCGGATGGTGGCGAGTTTGTGGGCAATGACAATGGTCGTACGGCCCTCGGCGGCCTTGTCTAGGGCCTGCTGCACGACGCCCTCGGCGTGCGGGTCCAGGGCGCTGGTGGCTTCGTCGAGGAGGAGCACCTTGGGTTCCGAGATGATACTCCGTGCGATGGCGACGCGCTGCTTCTGGCCGCCTGACAGGAGGCCGCCGCGCTCGCCAATCATCGTGTCGTAGCCTTCGGGCAACTGGGAGACGAAGTCGTGGGCAAAGGCGATCTTGGCGGCGTCCTGGACGCGGCGGAGCTGCTCCTCGCGGGGCGAAGACTCCCACGGGGTTCCGACGAGGCCGTTGGCAATGTTGTCAAAGACTGTTCCCTGGAAGAGGACGGGTTCCTGCGGTTGTCAGAGTTGGTTCAAAATGTAGGTGCTTCTCATCTCACCTGCTGCACGAGCCGGACATTCTTCCTGAGCCAGTTGAGGTTCAGCTGGTCGATCGGCTGGCCATCGAGCTTGATGGTGCCCGATTTTGGATTGTACCATCGCTCAATCAGCCCGATGATTGTGCTCTTGCCGGAGCCGCTGGAGCCCACGAGCGCCGTCACCTTGCCCGCGGGCACGTGGAGCGAGTAGTTATCGAGGACCGTGACGCCGGGGCGCGTCGGGTACTCGAACGAGACGTTCTCGAGGTCGACGACGCCGACGGTCTCGGTGGGCTGGTGGCCTGACTTGTCAAAGGGGTCGATCTCGGAGACGCGGTCGATGAGCTTGAAGAGCTGGGCGGCGGCGGAGGCGGCGCGGGTGAATTCGATGATGTAGGGCGCCAGCATGGTCAAGCTCGTTGCGCCGATGACCACAGATAGGAGGACCCTGAAGCCTGTTAGCTTATGCTGCTGAAAGATGCTGCGGACTCCTTACGTAAAAATGTCTCCAGACTCGGTAATCTCGCCCCGGCTCAACATGTGGATGCCCTGCCAGAACGCCAGGGCGAAGCCGGCGTAGATGACAAAGTACTCAAACGAAAAGAGCACACCAAACAGGGCCGACTTCTTGTTGCCGATGCGGTGGGCGTCCTCGAGGAACCTGTCAAACTTTTGCACCAGGCGCGATCGGATCTCAAAGGCGTGTACGGTACGCGCGCTCGAGAGGATGCCCTCGGAAAAGGAGCCCGCCTGGGCGTAGATGTCGAGGATCTTTGTCTCGAGGCCGGCCTCGATGGTGGAGACGACGCCCATCACAATCAGAATCAGGGGCGCGATGCAGCACACGATGAGCGTGAGCTTCCACTGCGTGACAAAGGCGATGACGAAGGCGGTGACGAAGACGGCGAGCCCCTGGAAGGTCAGAGCGAGCTTCTCGGCGATGCCGACCTGGATGAGGCGGCCGTTGGAGATGGCCTGGGTGGCAATGGAGCCGCCGGAACCGATATCGTAGAAGGCGACTTCCTGGCGGAGAGCGGCGTGGAGGTAGGCGTGGCGGATGTTGCGCGTGATGCGGTAGGCGGAGAAGGTTGTCAGGGAGATGTAGCCGTAGGCGAGGACGAAGCGCGCGATGCCGAGGTAGACAAAGTAGAGCCTGGGGGTGTTAGCTTGCAGTGATGATTTGTGGATGTACAGAGACGTACGCCAGTTTTGAGACTTCATTTCGAAAGTGTTGAGGAGTGGACTGGCCGGTGGTGAAGTCCTGGATGGTGGTGACGAAGCTGCCAAAGATCAAGTTCTGCAGGGCCACGCCGGCGCCGGCGCCCAGAGCGCATACTATCGCGATAGTTTGCAGGAGCTTCTCAAAGGGTCCCCCAAAGGAAAAGATTCTCTGGGAGGCGTCAGCATATTTGCAACAGGTGAGACTCGACGATGATCATACTAGGTAGGCCTTGAACGCGCCGCCCTCTGCCTTGACAGCTTCGTTTGGCGAAGCAATGGCGGCGACGGTATCCTCAGCCGGAGTGTGCTCCTTCTTTTCGGCCCCCATATTGTGCGGCTGACGGGTGGTTCACCCCAAGATCTGATCGTCTGTGTCGCGTGGTGTGTTCGTACAATCAAGAAATGTGAGCCGGCGGGTTGGTTTCTCTTGTAGATGAGATGGGGAAAACCAGACGATGCAGGTTATATCATGCGGTGCACCTCAAGGCGAGCCAGGAGAATGTTTTCAGACACGCATATTGAAGTTTGAAGCTCGGATAATAGAACACGCAAACTTGAGCTGACTGATCGCCAACGTAGCAGAGTCTCCGTCATTGAAGCTGCTGCTGCGAGGCCTTGGCTTCTCCCGCGGACCGCCGTCATGGAAGCGAGAACGCCCCACTCTTCGGCATAGTGGACCCCCCGCTTCGGTGCAGGAACGAGTGCGATTGGTTCGACTCCAGCTTGGCAGGCTCGCAGCGGGGGCCGCGGGTTCATCGCGCCCGGGCGCCCACTCCGCTGCTTTGCTCGGGGCGCGGTGCTCTCGGGGCGCGAGGCGTCAGACAATGTCCAGATTTCCCTTCATCCCAAACCATTAAAGGCTAAAGGAGTTCCCCTTCGATCGATGTGTGATGAGGTGTCACCGCGTCAGCAGGATGTTTTGGTTTGACCGAGTCCGACGTCGATGATGCCGATGACTCTTTCGCCGGACGGCGCGGTGGACATCTGAGACGCTACGGCGCCGCGCCGACACGTGGGAAGCGCTCTCTCCTCCGGGTTGAGCTACTCACGAGTCTCCGAACAGCTACCACAAATACCGTACCTATGGACGGCATGTCGCCGTGACCAGCAGTGCCCTAGGTTGAGCAGACAGGTTGGTTTCGTGTCATGTGTCTCGGTCCATTTCGAAGATGGCATCCTCGATTCGAACAAAACAGCAAGCGGCAGATGCCCTCCATATAGTCCTGCCCGGCGCCATTCTGACCTTTGGCGCCGGAAGCCGAAAGGACAAGCGGACGCCGAACAATGGAAAGACTCCGTACTTGCGCCGCCCATACTCCGTCCCCGTCAGAGATGCTGGTCCATGCCTCTCCCTGCCTATCACGGGCATTCACAGATCCAAATGCGTCCATGCCGGCGATGTGGCCCTGGCGTTGCCGGTGGGATACGTTTGAATAGACTACAACGGCGGCGCTAGAACGTGACAACACTGCGATTCCGTGATCGACACACTTTCTATTGGCGAATCATAGCTCTACAATTCCCTAGCTAGTTTCTATCTAAAGCCAGTTACCCCAGTTCAAATGCGTCTCTACAGCGGCCTATCCGGCGCGAACCACCGTGTCTGCGCCTGGATGAGCCCTGAATCGCAGAGATGTGCCGTCACCCGGACCCCTGAAAGGGTCCATGGCAAGGGGGTGAGCACGGAGATCTGAATTACTAAAAATCGTGCATGCATTCTGCAACGAAGTGCCTTTGCTCCCACGACTCATATGGGTGCTAGAATCCCTTCTTCTGTTCTCTCTCTTTTCCCCTTTACAAAATATATCCTAACCGCGCATGCACATCCTACCCGTAAGGTGACCAATTCAAAGACGGGCAAGCCTCCAGCCTCAACTGCGGACAACTAGCGGCTGAGTCACAGCCACAGGGGCCGCCCTCTTGCTCCATAAAATCCGCCGGAAGCGGAACCCGCGCGCGCCGTTCCCGTCCTTCTTAGTTGCCCCCGGGCCGCGACCTCATCCCGCCGCGAAAGTTGGGAAGAGGTTCCGAACCATCTACGCCCGCTTGCTTTCTCGTGATCCCGTCCTCGTTCGGGCCCCGAATTCACCCAGCCCCGGGCACAACGCCTCGCTTGGCATCTCTCTGTACAACACGACAATTCTAGATTTCGGATCTCTTCGATCCCGCCCCGCCGGATCCTCCTTCGAGAGTCTTGGACCCTTGCTCCTCGGGTACGACCTATCCTTAAGTGAAGCCATCTGATCACATTTGGAAATATCTAACCGAGCCGTAATGGACACCGGATCTTCTGCCGGGGCTGGTGCGGGTCTCTCCGCTACTGGCGGCGTGGGCGGCGCCAATCTCCCCATCAAACGAGCGGTAAGTAGACCCTCATACTACCCAGTCGTTGTAAATCACGCCGAAACTAACTTACACATTTAGTGTGATGCTTGTCGTGCCCGTAAAGTACGTTGTCTCTCATCCTTCATTGGCCCATGTCATCATGTCACTCGACACCATCCATTGGACGTAGGGCTGACTGTGCTTCGTAGATTCGCTGTGATAGAGAAGAACCATGTGCTCACTGCCAGCACGCCGGCATCGAGTGTAAGAACACATCGGGGCTCAAGCCCAAAGAGAAGAGAACTCGCATTCTCATCACCCCTCAATAGTTAGTCTCGTATTTGCTCCCTTGCACCAGTTTACAACTCACACATCCCAGTGAGAAGAAGATCGACCTAATAGACCGCCGCCTCGACGGCGTAGTCCGCCTCCTCGAGGACCTAAAACTCCAGTTCCCCATCCAAGCACCATCAGCAGCACCGTCAACCGCACCATCAGTCTCGGGATCAACCGCCACACCCGGCGGGGGAGCAGGAGGGGCAGTATCAGGGGGCCCGCCGGCGTCCATCCAACTCAAGACGGTGGCTTCATCATCCATCTCAACAACACCAGCCAGCACTTCCACGCAGCAGCAGCACACGACGGACCCTCTGGTCGAGGGCGAGTCCTCCATGACGGCTCAGTCCATCTTCGCCCACGACTTCCTCCGCAAGACCGTCGGCGACGGCTCCTCGGTGCTCGAGATGCGCGAGACCCTCGACGCCCTGCACTCTCTCGTCGAGGCGCTCCGGCACCAGCCCGCGTCGCACGAGCTGACGTACCCGCAGGCGAAGCCCGTGGCCCGGCCGGCGTTTGGCGAGTGCGAGATGCCGCCCGTGCAGTCCGCCGTCAACATCATCCGCGAGGCAAAGGGTGCGTAGTCTCAAGTCACTATGCAGTTCAGGAAAGTCAGACTAACGTCTCAAATAGCCCAAAAGACGCTGGGCCTCGAGTGGGTGACGACGTTCCTCCACCCAGACCACTTCACCGACCTGGTCCTCAAGGTCTACTTTGCGCCGACAGAGTTCAACGAGGCCGAGTTCATCATCGTCAACGCCGGCCTCGAGAGCCTGTACACCGACATGACGCAGTCCAAGACGGCGACGGCGCAGCTCAGGGAGGAGTGCGCCAAGATGGGCACCCTCTGCCGGGGGAACCTCCAGACCGCCCTCGCCAACCTGCCCCTGCACCTCCCGGCCACGATGGACATGATTGTTGCCCTCTTGTTTGGTGTAAGGTTCTCCCCCACACATTCTTCTTACATCTGTAGCTAACATCGTCAGGCCTACCACGCAATGGAAGTAGCAAAACCAAGCCTCGCCTGGACCCTCAACGTAGCCTCGGCCCAACTCTGCCAAACCCTAGGCTATCACCGCGCATCCCCATCATCGTTGTCCTCATCAACTTCCACTGCAACAGGCACAGCAACAGGCCCAACCACCGCAAACCCAGACGACGAGGAATACAAAATTTTCCTCTTCTGGTCCGTCTACTTCATCGACAAGTCCCTCTCCCTCCGCCTCGGCCGCCCCTCGACGATCCAGGACTACGACATCACGGCCCCCTACCCCTCGAGCGCCAGCAAGATGCACGGCGCCCTCATGAGCTACTTTTGCCTGTGGGTCGTTGTCTCGCGCATCCAGGGGAAGACGTACGAGCAGCTGTACAGCCCCGAGGCGATTGCGCAGCCGAGCGCCGTGCGGGAGGCGAGGGCGAGGGGATTGGCGGCGGAGTTGAGGAGGGTTACGGACCGGACGCAGGAGACGCATGTGAGTTGCTGTGATCGTTCAACCCACGAAGTTGTTGTGAGGTTGCTGACTCTTGTGGCCAACAGTCGCAGTATTTGAAGTCGGCCATCGAGGCGGTGGGAGAGAACACGATGGAGTTCTTCAACGTGTCGGATGAGGTGCTGAGACTATCGCTGATGACAATCATCTATCGCGCCGTCCCCTCGCCCCCCGGGTCCGCGACGACGTTTGGCACAGAGTGCATCAACGCCGCGAGGGCGACGCTGCAGCGGCACGAGGATTGCATGGCCATCATGGCGAAGGATGCGTACTACCTGTTTCCCATGTACATGAACTGGTGCGTTCTCTCTTACGTTCCACTCTCCACAAATTCGTGCGTTCACACTAACAACGCCCAGGACAATCCTTTTCTCCCCCTTTGTCCCCTTCATCGTAATCTTCTGCCAGGTAATCGAAACAAGCGACACCTCGGACCTCGCCCGGCTCCAGGGCTTCGTCGCCTCTATCCAGGGCGCAAAGGAGTTCACCGAGGCCTCGGCGCGGCTGTGCCGCCTCTTTCAGGTGCTTTACAATGTCGCGTTCCGGTACGTCGAGATGCGGAGCCAGGGCAGCAGTGGGGGCGGCGGCAACGGGAACAACAACAGCACGCAGCAGCAGCAGCAGTCGGAGGAACAGGGCCAGGAGATGGACAAGTACCTCACGGCGCTCGGGTTCCCGCCGGCATCTGGGCATCCGCAGCAGCATGCACAGCAGCAGTCGTCGGACGTGGGGTCGGAGCAGATGTCGGGGATGACGGGCGGAGGAGCAGAGGACGGGATGAACGGTGCCGGTGTCGCGGGGTCGGGTGCGCTGAACCAGATGATGTGGATGGGGAATGCGGCGCAGTTGGAGGATTGGTTTTATAGCAACCAGCAGATGATGGGGCTTGTTGAGGATGATGACTCATTTTTGTAGTGAGCGGTTTTGGGTGTAGACATTGTTTGGCGATGGAAAGGGGTTGGACATGGCGATAGACACTGGGTTTGTGACGGGGCATCATGGCCAACGGAAGACGAGGTTCATGTTCAAAAAGCCTACAGTGGGCAAAGGAACTCTGGACTGGAATCAGAAGAATACCATACAGTGCGGCTGGGAGTAGACCCAGCCCATACACATACATCGTCAACCCGTCCCGGTCACCCCCTCTCAAGCCTCATCACCATCCAGGTCAGCCTCA